TAATTATATATTGGAAAAAAAATACCTTTACCTGTTTTTGGACCGGTTTTTGAGCCTGTTGTTTAGTAAATAAAGTCCAATGGAAATCAGCATTATCAGAAGTGCTGTCAAAGATGTAACCACAGGAATGATTGTAGTATTGATGGGCTCATTGACTGTTGTACTGATGGGATCAACAACTAAAACACAAATGTCCCACAATTAGTTTCCCAAGGAAGTTGTTACCACATTTACTTTTTATTCAGTGGCTCCCCAATCATATTCCCTCTAAAAGAAATACATTGTGGATCCTCCCTCTATCTCAATTTCCCTCTCCAAATATGGTTAACTTGTAAGTTCAAGCTTTCATTCAAATATTATTCAGCTTATTTGCTCAGAAAAAAAATTTAAGCAAATAAATTAATTTCTTTCTTGGAAGAGTAGCAGTGTCACAACATGTAACAGAATTGACAAAAGACCAATTAGGTCAGTGAGGTGACCCATGGAGTTTAGAGAAGGCTGAAGCTGGTACCTGGAATAGCATGAAAGAATCAAGAGACCAGAGGTCTCTATGAGGCTGAAAAGCCTGTGTAAGAAGAGGTAAAGTATAAAGTTTGAAGAATTGGAAACTATGCTCAAAAAGTGAGACATTGGTATTTAATGTTTTAGAACTAAAACACTTTACTTTTGGATGAAGCCCAAGATCGGACACTGGCAGTGGGCGATTGAAGTGAAGTAGGTCTCTGCACTGTCCCTATTCCTGGAACACTTGTTGCCTTCCCCTTTACCATTCTTACTGGAAAGCTTCTACTCCCTCTTCAGTCATCAGGTGCAATATTAACTCAGAGAAGCCTATGCTGAGAAAAAGTGCCTACAATATGGAAATAAGGCAAAAACCCAAATTCCATGTCTTATTATCATGCTAGAGCATTATGTAATAAAATGTATCTAAAGATCATCTGATGCCCTGACTGGTTTGGCCCAGTGGATAGAGCATCAGCCTGTGGACTGAAGGGTCCTAGGTTTGATTCCAGTCAAGGGCATGTACCTTGGTTGTGGGCACATCCCCAGTAGCGGGTGTGCAAGAGGCAGCTGATTGATGTTTCTCTCTCATTGATGTTCCTAACACTCTATCCCTCTCTCTTCCTCTCTGAAAAAAATCAATAGAACCAGTTTTTTCAGAGGCTCTTTCTCTCACTTATGAGTTAATTAAAATTATGGCCCCTGATTTCTATGTATCTTTATGAGAATTATGTTTTTTAAAATATATTTTTATTGATTTCAGAGAGCAAGGGAGAGGAAGAGAGAGACAGAAACATCAGTGATGAGAAAGAACCATTGATTAACTGCCTCTTGCACGCCTCCTACTGGGGTTTGAGCCTGCAACCTGAGCATGTGCCCAACCTGAGTATGGTTCCTCGGTCGATTCTCAACCACTGACCCATTCCATCCAGGCAGTTTAGAATGATTTTAAATCATGCCACCTATCTTTAGGAAATTTACTGCATACTGAGTGACATTTACAATGAATATTAATGCACAAGGAAATTTATGTATAAGTGCATCTGTTTTAGTACCAGTGTTATGAAAACAACATTGTAGTATAAAAGAGAAGAATGCCGCAACCTAATTCAGCTGGAGAGTCAGTAAAAGTAAGACTCTCTAAGGAAATAATATTTCATCCAAAACTAGAGAATAAATAGTAGTTATCCAAATGAAGAATAGAGAGAATAACTGAAAAACTACCACCTAAAAATGGGGTATAATGTTCTGGGGAACACCCTGACTTATGCAACCATATTCATATTGGAAATACAAAATTTTGAATTTAAGTTACATGTAGGACAATTGTAGGTCATGATACATCCAGAGATGGCCATGAGAGAAAGTAGAGAAAAGTGGAGTCAAAGTGAAGACCTATGTAATTTGCCCTCTCCCTAGATCTCAAACTTGATGCCAGTTAATCTTTCTCTGAAAACAGTTCTGCCCTAGGAGACTGAGAACTTGAGTTTGGTGAGAGTTTGGTGAGAGTTTGGTGCTCAGCTACACCTGGTTTGGATGGACAAACTGCCTTAGACAAGTTTTAATTTTCTTTCTACTTGTCAGTGTTCTTTGACATTCTGTTAGAATGTATGAGAATATTGTACTGGCAAATAGACATTATTTTCATCACACTTTTATTTTAACCTCTTTCTAAGGTTACTACATGAAAGGCCCTTGGTTCAGCTGAGTGTTTAATGGGTCTGGAGAGGCAAATTTAGAGGTAGGAGTCAAATAAAGTTGTTTTCCTCGATAATAGAAGTAAATGATTCAGTGTGTGTCCTGGGGTGTAAAACAGTTCAGGGAGGAAGGGATGAAGCAATGAAGAGAGAGTATGGAAGGGGAAGAGGGAGACTGGTGTTAGGGATATAGCAGGATGTTGGAATTATCCCACCATGTCACCCTCTTAAATTATAAATAAACTGTACTAAGAAAAAAGCCAGGATAGAGTGTCCCATTTAGAGGAGGGAGCAAGTGCGAAGGCCCAATTTAAGAAAAAGCTTGGTACCTTTGAGAACTTGCCAAAGCCAGTGTGCCCAGAGCTCAGGGAGAGAGAGAGAAGGAGACAAATGGATGAAATGTGAGAGCTGGAAAGAGTGCCCAAATTACATAGGTCTTCAATTTGACTCCCCTTTTCTCCCCTTGCTCTCATGGCCATTTATGGCCTTGTCATTACCTAGAATAGCCCCACATCTGACTTAAATTTAAATGTTTAGATTTCCTATATGAATATGGCTGCAAAAAATTATTGTGTTCTTCTTATTTTCTCAGAAATAAAATACCACACACAAGAAAGAACAAAATAAAAAAATTGCAAATTCAAGACTTTATAATTGGTGTAAAGGCTGCTAAAAGCAGCTGTGATCAGACATACAACAAGTGGGAGAAAGGGACGAGAGATGTGTATGTGAGCATTAAAGCCCTTCTTGTGGGCACAGTGAGAGGAGAGAGAAAACTGACCTGCTATGGACAATTGTTCTTCCTTTTTCTGATTCAGTACTGGGTTCCAGATAGAACATTTCAGATTCTTCTGAGAAGGTTCTCTGAGTACCAGTGATGTTGTTACATGGAACAAGTCACCTTTGTCCTGGGTATGAGTCTCAGATTGAGCTGGAATTTCTCTTCCCTCAGAGTCCAGCCACTGGACCTTTGGCTGAGGGAACCAGCCCTCTGACTTGCACTCTAATCGGAGTTGGCTGGACTTAGTGAGTTCTACATGGAACTGAGGATGTGAGCCAAGAGCTGGGAAGAGTAAGAAAGAGAAGTCAGGTCCTAAGCTCATTTTCCTGCACACACATCCCTCCTCTGCTTCTCAAGAGTTTTTGCTGCTGATTAGACCTCAGTGTGCAGAACAGGAAACAGAGGCTCTAAAAAAAAGTCTTGGCAATAATGTATGGGACCTAGACTGCTGGGCTAGAAAGGAGTCCAACAAAATCCAACACAAATGGCTGCTGCCTATTTCTTGACTTTCACTATGAATCTCTTTATTATCTTTTCTTTAGCCCCAAGCAGTGATTTATGGAGTAATGGGTGAAAAGAACTAATGGCCATCTTTCTTTATCTTATAAATTCATTATATTTCTAAAGAAAATTGGAATAGAGGAAGGAGCCCATCCTAGAATAAACTTACCCCTGTGGGGTGTCAAGGAGACTAGTGTGGGCCATTACCTGTCACTTTCAGCTCAATCATTGTATCACTGTAGAAGGAACCATGTTGGAATGCACAGCGATACTGCCCACTGTCAGAGAGTTGGACATTGAAGATTCTCAGGACCACAATCCCCTTCTGCATGACATTTCAAGCTCTGTCCTCCTAAAATACTCCTTCATGGCTTCCTCAGGCTTGTCCCTCCCATCCTCATACAGGTGCACCACCTGGGAGGGTAGGGATCGAGTCCAGCTAATTTTCATATTTTTAATACTTTGATGACGCATGAGGAAGCAGGGTAGCTCAGCATCACCACCCAGCATGGCCATCAAAGCTTCATTGGGCCCATGGGCTTGGAATTTTCCTGAAAAGGAAACAGAAATGGAGTCAGGGTGGGCTGTCGGCAGAATTTGTTCAGATGAAGTGGAATTGATTATATACATGATTGGTTTTTTCCATCCTAACCAATCCTGGGAACAGGGTCTGAAAGGACATAGCTGCTGGATCCTGGGGTTCACTTTTGTGACATGAACATACACACAGAGCTAGGAGGCAGCTGGGGATGTTGAACGTAGGAGGTCTACGCCTGGCTAAGCTGAGGCAAGTAAAGGACTTAAGGCATTAATATTTAGGAGACAGTTACATTTGGGGTACACGTCCAGGGTTGGCAAGCTGTTGACGGGAAGTGCCTCTTTATAATTTGTGTCCTAGGCTCCTCACCCTGGGGGGACCTAAGGGATGTGACTGCAGGAGATAGGGAATAGACTTGCTAGCTCCCTCAGCTCAGGATAACACACGACCTCAGATGGCTCTGGATGGATAGTGGATAACTGTGTTGAGAAAGAGTCTGAAGTAGATGAGTGGTAAAGATGTTTGAGAATTAATACAATTTGCCATGAGCATGGGATGAGAATATGGATGCATACAAGCTAAATTTTACCAATCTTATTCAACATTATCTTAAGTCTTGAAGAACTTATGCTTCTTTATTATCATCTGGGCTCTTTTGCTTTCTCTCAACCTTTGCCCCACTGCATGCACATTTGTATTTGGATGTACACACACACACAACACACACACACACACACACACACACACACACACACACACACACACAACCAGCGCAGGCCTGGACCAGAAGATACAAGTAAAAATGCCTAGTATACTGCCTGGTACTTAGTAAGCAGAATAATATTAAGTTCTTTACTTTCCAGGACCTCCAATCATTGGCTCTTTTGTCCAAATTTTCCATTATAGCGTTACCCCCCTTTTGTTTTTTCCTTCTTCTTACATATCAGAGAATCAGAAACTCATATAAGATTTCATACCTTTAGCCATCTGGAGGCAGAGGAAGAGTGAGATGAGGCTGCCATGATACATCGTAGAGACTCACTGCCTCTTCAGGTGTCTGAGGCAGGGCAATCCCAAGTCTTTGACTGATGACTCATTGGACAAGGAGGAAAACTGTAATGAGGAGAGAAATAAAAAGAGAAATCTGAGGGAGAGAAAAGATGGCATCTAGCAGGAAGGCGGTGAGGGAGTGAGTGAGGGAGCAAAAGGGGAGTGTGTGGACTTGTGGTGTGTGTGTGTGTGTGTGTGTGTGTGTGTGAGTGTGTGTGTATGTGTGTGAGTGAGGGACAGTTTGACCCTGCAGGGCATTCAGTGCTGGAAGACCAGGCTCTCTTAGATGGAGAGCTCCTGCTACTGCTGAAATCACTTCCGGGCATCCAACTCAACAGAAACCATGCCATCTTGAAGGGGAGAGCTGTTGTGACTAGGAGCCCGGCCTCACCACCACCCAGACAAGCCTCAGATGCCATCCCAGACCCCACAAGCACTCCAGCCAAAGACCTGCTACCTTAGCTACAGACCCACAGAAATCAGGACTCGAGCCTCCTCAGACATGGGCTCATATGGGACCTGGAGTGCACTCCTCTTTCACCAGACTACCATGTCATTCCAGGGCATCCCACTGTTGGGTCTTGAACTGAGTCATCTCCGCCTACCAAGCCCATAGTGTCGCCCCATCCCTGCAGGTCCCACCAATAAACCTGGAACTGCACTCCCTGCCCACCATGACAGCGACATAGGCCCTGGCCCCATGAGTCCTGCAGGTGAGGTTCTGAGTCCCCTGCCCTCCAAGCCCACAGCATCATCCCAGCCCCGTGCATCATGCAGGCCAGTTTCTGACTGAGTCCCCTGCCCTCCAAGCTGCAGTGATGCCCTGGCCCCGTGTGTTATGCAGGCCACCCTCTGACTGTTCCCTGCCTGCCAAGACCATGGCATCACCCAGCTCTGCACATCCTGACAGTGAACCTCAGACCAGTGATAGCAAGAATGGGGAGATAAAGAAACAACTCCCCAAGGAAAGAAAAGGCAAGATCACCAGAAAAGAAACTAAATGAAACAGAGGCATTCAATTTCTCAGAAAAAGAATTCAGAATAATGGTCATACAGTTCATAAACCGGATGGATGAAAAGATCAACAACTTATGTAAGATTCAGGAGAAAATAAAAAAATTATATAGCTATAATAAAAAAACACGATGGAAGGTTTCAACGGTAGACTACAAGAAGTGGAAAAGACCGAATTAGTGAATTTGAAGATAGGGCAGCAAAACACACTGAATCTGAAAAGCTAGTGAAGAAATAAATTAGAAAGCAGGAGAAGAGTCTAAGAGAGCTTTAGGTCAACATGGAACAAAGTAAGATACATATAATAGGAGTGCCAGAATGACAAGAAGAGCAAGGATTAGAAAACCTATTTGAAGAAATGACAGAAAACTTCCCTGATTTGGAAAAGAAAAAAGTCACACAAGCACAGAGTTCCAAAGAAGATGAACCCAAAAGATCCACACCAAGACATGTTGTAATTACAATAGTAAACGTTAATGACAAAGAAAGAACCTTAGGGCCTGCAAGAGAGAGACAGAAAGTAACCTACAAAGGAACTCCCATTAGATAATCTAATGATTTTTCAACAGAAACATATCAGGCCAGAAGGGAATGGAATGAAGTATACAAAGCATTGCCAAGGAAGGGACTGAGTCCAAAAATACTCTATCCAGCAAGGCTGTCATTAAAACTTGAAGGGGAAGTCAAAAGCTTCACAGACAAAAAAGGCTAAGGGAGTTTATCACTACCAACACAGCAATGTAAGAAATGCTAAAGGGACTGTGGTAAAAAGAAGAAATAGAAAGGCAAGAAGGAACACAGGCTCAAAGAATAAAAATGGATACAAACAAGTACCTATCAATAATAACCATAAACATAAGTGGATTAAGTGCTCTAATCAAAAGACACAGAGTGGCTTAATGATAAGAAAATGTGACCCATATATATGGGGTCTACAAGAGACACACCTCAGAACAAGGGACTCACACAGACTGAAAGTGAAGGGATGGATATCTTTTAGGCAAATGGAAATGAAAAAAAAGCTGGGGTAGCAATACTTATATCTGACAAAATAGACCTCAAAGTGAAGGCCATAACAAGAGATAGGAGGGCTACTTCATAACACTAAAGGGATCGATACAACAAGAGGATATAACTCTGGTAAACATACATATATGCACCCAATGCAGGAACATCTAAATACATAAAAAAACTTCTGGATGATATCAAAGGAGAGATTGACAGCAATACAATCATAGTAGGGGACTTTAATACCCCATTGACATTAGTGGATAAATCCTCTAGACAAAAAGTCAGCAAAGAAACAGCAATTCTAAATGACTCACTAGATCAGATGGACTTAATTGACATCTTCAGAACATTTCACCCCCAGGCTACAGAATATACATTCTTTTCAAGTGCACATGGGACATTCTCAAAGATAGACCACATATTAGGACAAAGGCAAAATCTCTCCAATTTCAAGAAGATTGAAATAATATCAAGCATCTTTTCAGATCACAATGGCATAATATTAGAAATAAACTACAATAAAAACAATAAAAAAATTCAAACACTTGGAGGCTAAATAGCATGCTATTAAACAATGATTGGGCTACCAAAGAGATCAAAGAAGAACTTATAAACATCCTGGAAACAAATGACAATGAAAACACAACAATCCAAAATCTATGGGACACAGTGAGAGCAGTCCTGAGAGGGAAGTTCATAGCACTACAGGCCTACCTCAAAAAACAATAAAAACTTGTAATAAATTATCTAACTCTACAATTTAAAGAATTAGAAAGAGAGCAGCAAGAAAAGCCCAGAGTGAGCAGAAGGAAGGAAATAATAAAGATAAGAGCAGAAATAAATGACATAGACCAAAGAAACACTACGAAAGATCAATAAAACCAAGAGCTTGTTCTTTGAAAAGATAAACAAGATTGATGAACCTCTAGCCAGGCTCCCTAAGAAGCAAAAGCTATTCTGAGAAAGAACAAAGTAGGAGGGATCTCAATACCAGATGTCAAGATATACTACAAAACCACTGTCCTCAAAACTGCCTGGTACTGGCACAAGGACAGACATATAAATCAGAACAGAGAACCCAGAAGTCAACCCAAGCCATTATGGTCAATTAATATTTGACAAAGGAGGCATGAACAAAAAATGGAGTCAAAACAGTCTCTTCAATAAATGGTGTTAGGAAAATTGGACAGATACATGCAAAAAAATGAAACTAGACAATCAACTTACACCATACACAAAAATAAACAAAATGGATAAAGAACTTAAATGTAAGATGGGAAAGCATAATAACCTTGGTGTAAAACACAGGCAGAAAAATATCAGCCATATGGTGTAGCAATATCTTTACTGATACGGCTCCTATAGCAATGGAAATTAAGGAGAAAATAAACAAATGGGACTACATCAAAATAAAAAGCTTCTGCACAGCAAAAGAAACCGTCAACAAAACAACAAAAAAGCCCACTGCATGGGAGAACATATTTGCCAATGTTATCTCCAATAAGGATTTAATCTCCAAAATTTACAGGGAATGTATACAATTTAACAAAAGGAAGATAAACAACCCAATCAAAAAATGGGCAAAGGACCTAAATAGCCCTTTCCAAAAGAGTACATACAGAAGGCCAAGAGATATATGAAAAAATTCTCAAAGTCACTAATCATCTGAGAGATGCAAATCAAAATGACAAGGAAGTACCATCTCACACCTGTCAGAATGGCCATCATGAACAAATCAACAAACAAGTGCTGGCAAAGATGGGGAGAAAAAGGAACCTTTGTGCATTGCTGGTGGGAATGCAGACTGGTGCAGCTACTGTGGAAAACAGTATGGAGTTTCCTCAAAATATTAAAAATGGAACTCCCATTTGACCCAGTCATCCCACTTCTAGGAATATTTCCCAAGAAACCAGAAACACCAAACAGAAAGGATATATGCACCCCTATATTCATAGCAGCACAATTTGCCATAGCTAAGATTGGGAAATAGCCTAAGTGCCCATCAGCAGATGAATGGATTAAAAAATCATGGTACATCTACACAATGGAATAATAGGCAACTGTAAAAAATAAGGAACTCTTACTATTTGTAACAGCATGGATGGACCTGGAGAGCATTATGCAAAGCGAAATAAGCCAGTCCGATAAAGATAAGTATCACATGATCTCACTCATATGTGGAATCTAATGAACAACAATAGATCCAAGACAGAGAAGCATCAAACTTACTGTCAAACCTCAGAGGGAAGGCAGGGAGGGTAAGGGGTGGGGTGGGGGGGGGTAAAAGGTCAACCAAAGGACGTGTATGCATGCATGTAAGCATTACCAATGGACACAGTCCCTAGGGGGGTAAGAGCATGTGCAGGGGGGTGGGATTGGCCAGGGGAGGTCAATGGAGGAAAAAGGTAATAATGCAATAGCTATGTACAGGCTGGGGGCGGGGGGGCAGTGCTTGAAATATCAGGAGGACCACTCTGTAAAATATATGATTGCCCGGTTCTCAACCTGTGGGTTGTGACCATCGGAAAACACATATAGCATATATTTACATTATGATTCATAACAGTAGCAAAATTACAGTTATGAAGTAGCAACGAAAATAATTTTATGGTTGGGGGTCACCACACATGAGGAACTGTATTAAAGGGTGGCGGCATTAGGAAGGTTGAGAACCACTGGCTAACGACTATGTTGTGCACCTGAATCTAATACAGAATAATATTGAATGTGAACTATAATTAAAAAAAGATGGAAAATTGTATGTTATATGTTTTTCATCATAATAAAAAATAAATAAAAGAGAACTTGGAGACTTAATGCAAGGGGGAAAGAAAGGAAGGAATGCAGGAATCTCACTCTTGGGCAGGTAAGGGGCACAAGTTATCCATGGGACTAGATAAGGGCAAAGTAAGATTCTTGCTCATTTTCTGTAAATTTTGGGACCCTTGCTCTTTAGGACTATGCAGGGCACTCATGGCGTCAGCTACGTTGTACATACTGATGACATCTTCTGTACATAATGTCTGATGATCCAGGGTCAGGACCCTTCTTCTAGAGCAGTGGTTCTCAACCTTCCTAATGCTGTGACCTTTTAATACAGTTCCTCATGTTGTGGTGACCCCCAACCATAAAATTATTTTCGTTGCTACTTCATAACTGTAATTTTGCTACTGTTATGAATCATAATGTAAATATCTGATATGCAGAATGTATTTTCATTGTTACAAATTGAACATAATTAAAGCATAGTGATTAATCACAAAACAATATGTAATTATATATGTTTTCCAATGGTCTTAGGTGACCCCTGTGAAAGGGTTGTTCGACCCCCAAAGGGGTCGCGACCCACAGGTTGAGAACCGCTGTTCTAGAGTGACCAGGAGATTAGGGGTCCTTCTGCCTTGGACCAACAGAAAAAGCAGGTGTTTTCTATAATTCCCTGCCTCATTCTGTCCCCAGTCTAGTACTTTTAAGAACAGGTTAATTAGTGGTAGTAGTGAGGAAAGGGCTATAACACACATCAACAACTAGGACAATGTGGGATTTGGTGGCCATGGCTGTGAATTTTGCTGCCCAGGGCCCAGGGCTCAGAGATCTTGCTGCTCAGAGACTATCTAGAAAGGGCTGGCTCAAAGAATGGGAGTGGGGGAAGGCATTCCCAAGGCCATGCTCTCTTTAGGTGGAGGGGAAATAGGCTTTATATGTGGGGAATGGATCCTGAGCAGGCAGATGCATGTGGTATATAATAGTGCAGGGTCTTAAGGACCTTGGAAGCAACTGTAGAGATGGAGCATATATTACTTCTCCATGGACTAGGCAGCACTTCTCAACCTTTTTGATATCATGGCATGCAGCAAAAATGATGTTTTTTGTTAGGGACACAGTAGTAAACTGGAAGGGGATTAGGATATATGGGCTTCATGGGAAAAAATAACATTTTCTCTCTGTATTATCTATCTATATAAAAGCCTAAGTGACTGTATGACCGTCTAACCGTCTGATAGCTATGACGTGCACTGACCACCATGGGGCAGATGCTCAATGCAGGAGCTACTGAGCAACAGCAACTTTGCAGTGTGCCCTCTTATACTCCAGGACCCTTCAGAGGATGTCAGACTGCCACTTTTGGCCCGATCCATGCAGGCCAGGACAAGGGACCCACTGGTGCACGAATCCGTGCACTGGACCTCTAGTATGATTATAAGAAAAATGAAATAGAAGTTATTAAGTAAGAAATATGTTAAATATGAATTTAGAAGGAATACACTTAAAAATCTTCAATTTTTATAATTTTTGAAGTTGTTTCAATAAATGTAGCTTTTTGATTTCTGATTGTATACTTGAAATAACTGCAGATAACTGTCAGTGTTCAATTATGGTTATTAATAATGATGTCTTCAATTTTCCATAACCATAATTGATGAGATATTTTAGTTACGTAAGTAGGTAATACAAATATTAAAATCTTTTTCAATCCCACTCTTTTACATTGTAGCTAAAGAACCTAACAGCTCTTTCTTTTCTTTCATTTACAAATGTAATATTAAAATTTCTTGTAAAAATGTGAATGGATTTAAAATCCAATTGATTTTTTTCTCATCCAGGGTTTCAAAATGAGGAGTTTTAATTTGTAGAATGTACATGCAATGTTAAGATAACCCCTTTTCAGTTAGTTTGCTTGTATGAACTGCAACTTCACAAAACATATCTGATGTAAATGAGGACAGAGTTTGGGTGCTGCTGCTTTGAGCTCCACCAGGAATCCCTGCCTGGCCTCTTTGTTCCTCCAATCCACTCCAGGTATGGCCACATATGGGCTCCTTGAGCACCTGCATTTGAACTCTTCCTGTTGCTCTATGGCGTCCTTTTCCTGAAGGGCAGCAGCATTCAGTGCAGGTGGCTGAAGGCTAAATCTAGGCAGTTGATCAAGCAGAGTGTGTAGTGGCTCTCACCAAACAGACTGTCATAAGTTTCACTTCCCATTTGATGCTCATCTTGCAAAGCCATCTGAAGGACCCAAACTTGTGGGAAAATTGTTATAAGGCATGCTTAAGGATGAAGCATGAAGTCCTACTGGTGTCTGTACTGGCACATGGTACCTTCAACTAAGTGGGGTCCTGTATACAAATCTCTTGAATGTGTAGAGAATGACAGGTCAGGGACAACATTTTATGTCAACTATCTCACCTGGGCAAGAGAAACTTACCTGGTTTCTGCCTTCTCCTACAGGACAGAGCCAGCTTCCCACCAATGACAGAAATGGGACACTGTGGAAACAATGCAAAGATCTAAGAAGCTGTTGAAAGAGCTGATAGAGAAGGTGGGGAGGATCTTAGCAAAGAGTTTCAGGCTGTTAGTGCTGAGCTCTTCACAGAGCTAAGTCTTGACCAAAATGTTTTTTATAGAAACTTTCTGCAAAACTCAAGTGCCCAATACAATTTCTCTAATTGATCCTTTGTACTTCTACACTACAAGTGGTAAATTTATGGTGGAACTCAAATGAAATGGTGTTGAATAAAGGAAAGTGGGAACAAGACTTACCATTCTATAAAGTCTCAGGAGGACCTGAAAGATGATGTGGCAGTTTGAGGTTCTCTCAGGCAACTCTCAAGTAGCAGCACCCCAGCTCCACGTAGGGGTCCAACTTTCTAAGCAGGGAGTTAGAGTACTTTGCCAGCTGCCAATCATACATTGTTAGATCACTCTGATGATCTTGGTAAATTCCTTCAGGGACTTCACTTGGTCCACCATGGCTACTTCCTCAGGCTACACTGAAATCACCAGCTAGTGATTTCATTTTAGTACCCACTCACACCTCAGTATTTGTAACTTTTTGCTCTGAAAGAGAGAATCCTGGCTCTTAATCCTTAATATTTTTGATCAACCCCCCTGTATGAAGCCAGTTTCTGACCTCTGTTTCTACCCAGTCTCCTACATGAACACCCACCTCAACCCTCTCCAGCACTATGCTGGGCATTCCCTCCACATGGATGCCTCTTTACCTGTGTGGGCTCTGGCATGTCCTACCCTTTCCTCACTGTGCTCTGACTCTGACACCCATCAGAGACCTTCCTTCCCGCAGGACTTTCATCTCCTCCATGTCAGGCTTCTTCCATGGGTTGGTATCTCTTCACTGCTTGGGCTCTGACCCCTTGCTGGGGGCCACCTCAGTTCGCCTTCTACCCCCCTGTCCTTCTGACTGCCAGAACAGATTGGACTTACGCTGCATACTTGTACACTTTCAGACTGGGTTGTTCAGGAAGAGAAGGGAAGGGAAAAGAAGGAAAAGAGAAGGGAATAGAAAAAAAAGGGATGGAAGTCCAAGAAAAGGCTATCCCTTGCTTATAAAATAAAAGAAAGAGAAAACATTTTTAAAAAAATATATTTTATTGATTTTTTACAGAGAGGAAGGGAGAGGGATAGAGAGTTAGAAACATCGATGAGAGAGAAACATCGATCCACTGCTTCCTGCACACCCCACACTGGGGATGTGGCCGCAACCAAGGTACATGCCCTTGACTGGAATCGAACCTGGGACCTTTCAGTCTGCAGGCCGACGCTCTATCCACTGAGCCAAACCATCCAGGGCAGAGAAAACATTTTTGAAATGATCCAAGTTGGTGGCATGACAGGTGTGAGGGTGGGAGTCAGTATGTATTTGAGAGAGAGCATGTGCGTGGGCAAGTGTGAGTGCTATTGTGTGTGAGTGGTCTGTGTGGGGACTAGCTCCAAGTAGCACCTGCTACCACTTGATGCCTCAGGCCCAGCACCTGTAGCTCCAGGTTTGGAGCGTGAGCCATTCTGGATTTACCTGAGGAATCCTCCCGGTGCAGGCGCCAAGAACCACAGAGTCCCAGGGAGTAGATAGAGATGGCCAGGTCAGTCCTGGTTGTGCTCTGGGAGCTCAGCGGTGGAAGTTAAAGTCATAGACTTGCCAGTTGGACAGGAAGAGCACTTCATCATTGTTTTTTTTGGGAAGTTAGCACCCATGTGCCTGTAGAAGGAGCCATGCAGCAGAGCTCAGGGTCAGCGCAGGTGTCTGACAGGCAAACCCACCAGTGAACCTGAGGGACTCTTTACTTTCTAGAGGCATTTTAAGCAGAGAGCCAGACTGGGAGTGGACAGTGGGCACAGGAAGGAGGCCCTGCCCACCTCTAGTGCAGGTGAGGATCCCCTTCTACAGCCTGTGGAAGGGCTGGTTCTGCCTCACCCTCCACTACCTGAGGCAAGTGGGAAAGGCTCTGGGCTCCAAAATCTGCTCCCCTGTGGCTGAGTCTGGCAGCAGGGAGGACTCTGGCCTGAACAGAGACTGGGAGGAGGCCTTGCCCACTAAGGGCCAGCAGCACTGAAACAGTGAGTGCCAAGTTGGGCTGGTTTTTTTTTTTTTTTTTTAATGTTATTCTTCACCCAAGGATATTTTTTTCCTTTGCTTTTCAGAGTGGGAAGGAGGGAGGGAAAGGGAGCTAGGGGGAGTCACAGAACAGACTGACATAACTCAGTGTAGGGGTGGGCAGGATGAGAAGAGATAAACCAAAGAACTTATATGCATAGCCCTTGGACACAGAAATAGGGTCGTGAAGGCCTGGGGGGATTAGCGGATGGGTGGAGGAGGGTAAGGTTGGGGAAAATGCAGGACATCTGTCATACTAACAATAAAAATATTTTTATAAAAAATAAAACAGAATTAGGGGCAAAAAGAAAAGAACTTATATACATATACGCATAGCCCATGGACACAGAAATAGTGCAGTGAAGGCTAGGGGTGGGGTGGGAGCCACGTGGATGTGGGCAATAGGGGAAAAGTGGGGCACATCTGTAATAGTATCAAAAATAAAGGTAAATTAAAGAAAACACTTTGTAAAACAAAACTAGAATAGTAAAATTAGTTGGTTTCTAAAAAAAAAAAAGAGAACTGTGAGAGATAGAATGGGAAAGAAGCCTCTCCAACCATTTTTAAGGAAGAGCACGTGTGGAGTGTGAGGCTGGGAACACTCACCTTGTTCACACAACTCCTATCTGAGTATCTTGCATTGTCTCCTCACACCCTCAGGTGTATACACTCTATTGTGAAGACCACTGATCTAGGCATCACAGATTAAGTAATAGAGTGCAAATACCTAGGAGACTTCCTACCTCAGAACCCTGGCAAACAGGCCCCCAAGTCTTTCAAGTACCATAATTTGTTTTCTCTAACTTCGTCAGTTCTACCCCCTTCCCCTCCTTCTGTCTCCTTTCATCCCACTTTCCTGACAAGAAGCACAGCTCTCTCCATCCACACATCCTCTGTGCAGGAGAACCTTTCATAGAATTCTAACTTGATCCTTTCTTCAAACTGCCTCCTCCTCCAACTTTCGGGCTGACCCCCTCCATAGGAAGGGCTCCAGACTTACCTCTGCCTCTCTGCTGTGCGGCCGAGTCTCTCATGATCTGTGTAGGTCTGGGGACTTTCTCTCAGGAGCTCAGGCCTGAGAGCTAGAGGAGGTCTGTGTTAGAGGAACGATGTTAAGTACTGAATGGGGAGGAACTTCATGAGACTGAGGTATAGTTTCTGATGGACTTTGGGCTGGGACTGTGTATGTGGCAATATTATGGTGCTTTTCATCTCTCTGGACTATGATCTAAAGTTAGACATGTATCTTGGCAAAGTCATTAAAATAAATAGCACTTAACTGGACAGAATGATCTTCTACAAATTAAGACAAACATCATCATCTGAATCTGAAAGCTGTTTGGCAATTACACTAGCTTCTTTGAACATGCTCCACCTCCAATTACATATCTTTTCTTTTTTTTAGGAAATATTCATTATATGATGACTATTTTATTTCTTCTTTAATTCAAACATAATCTCAAACGTTTGACCATTATTCTTTCTTTGAGGTGCCTTTTGTCTTTATTGTTGTAAGTATTACAGATGTCCCCAGTTTTCCCCCATTACCCACCTGCACCCAGTTCGTGCCCCAACACAGGCCTTCACCACACTATTATCTGTATCTCTATATATTTTCATTTAAGTTCTTTGGTTATTCTCTGCCCGCTTTCCCACCCCCTTTCATCTGAGACCCGTCAGTTTGCGCCATGCTTCCATGCCTCTGCACCTATTTTGTTCGCTGGTTTGTTTTGTTCATTAGATTCCACATTTAGGTGAGATCATGTGGTACTTGTCTTTCCCTTACTGGCTTATTTCACTTAGCAGAATACTCTCCAGGTCCCCGATTCTGTCTCAAAGCTTCTTCTCAAACCTCATACTTCACTGCTACTCCTCTCAGGTGCCTCACCTTACTGAGCAATAGAAGCCATTTGATGGAAACTTTTCCCTACCTTTACATCAAGTCTACATATCCATAGCCACTCACTCCAAAGCAAATCCCAAGTACATCTGTTTGTAATTTCCCCTTTTCTGTTGTAATGGAGAAAATAGCTTTCTATCTCTATGCTCTAGGCCTTCCCATCATTTTGTGAACTCATAATTTATGTATTGAATCCTGTTCTGCTTGAAGTTTCTGTATAAGTACCGTGCGCTAACCGATTGCGCCACTGGAGCTCCATGCTTAAAGTTTCTATTGCCTACATTTTATGCTGACTTTTACACTCAACTCCACATTTCTTTTCTTTTTCTTTATTGATTAAGGTATTACATATGTGTCCTTATCCCCACATTGCCTCCCCCCTCACCCACCACTCATGCCCTCACCCCCCTGGTGTCTGTGTCCATTGGTTAGGCTTATATGCATGCATACAAGACCTTTGGTTGATCTCTCCCCCTTACCTCCACCCTCCCCTATTTTCCCTCTGAGGTTTGACGGTCTGATCGATGCTTCTCTGTCTCTGGATCTGTTTTTGTTCATCAGTTTATGTTGTTCACTATATTCCATAAATGAGTGAGATCATGTGATATTTATCTTTCTCTGACTGGCTTATTTCTAATAGCATAATGCTCTTGAGTTCCATTCATGCTATTGCAAATGGTAAGAATTCCTTCTTTTATATAGCAGTGTAGTATTCCATTGTGTAGATGTACCACAGTTTCTAGTATAGGTATTTTATCTCCTTGGTTAAGTTTATTCCTGGTTACCTTATTTTTTGTTTTGTTGGCAATAGTAAATGAGATTGTTTTCTTAGTTTCTCTTTCTGAGAGTTTATCACTAGTGTATAAAAATGCCACCAATTTCTGGATGTTACATTTGTATACTGCTACTTTGCATAAATCATTTATTAGATCTAATAGGGTTTTTTTGGTGGAGTCCTTAGAGTTTTCTATGTACAATATCATGTAATCTATGAATAATGACCATTTTATTTCCTCCTTTAAAATTTGAGTGTCCTTTATTTCTTCTTCTTGTCTGATTGCTGTGGCTAGGACTTGCACCACTCTGTTGATTAAGAGTGGTGAAAGTGGACATCCCTGTCTTGTTCCTCTTCTTAGGGGAAATAGTTTTAGCTTTTGCCCATTGAATATGATGTTGCTATAGATTTTTCATGTATGGCCTTCAATATGTTGACATATGATTCCTTTACTCCCAATTTTCTGTGACTTTTTATCATAAACTCGAGGCCCGGTGCACGAAACTTGTGCACTGGGGGTTGGGGTTCCCTCAGCCCAGCCTGCCCCTCTCACAGTCTGGGAGCCCTCAGTGGATGTCCTACTGACGGCCACAGTCTGGCAGCAGAGGCTCGGAGCAGGTGTCCTGTGTGTGTGTGTGTCCGCTGGAGGCCTGCCCCCAGCCGCATTGGAGGCTCAGAGCAGGCGCTGTGTGTGTGTGTGTGTGTGTGTATGTGTGTAAGTGTGTGTGTCCGCTGGGGGCCTGCCCCCAGTCACACCCTGGAGGCTTGGAGCAGGTGCCCCTCTGTGTTGATCTCTCAGGCTCCTGGCCTCCACTGCGTGTTTTTCTCTCCTTTGAGCTGTGGCCAGGGTGGGGTGCTGCCTGCAGGCTGCGCTTTCCTGCTCATGGATCACTGGATCACTGCAGAGACCAGGGGCAGGCCCTGCTGGGTGCTGCCTGTGGGGAACTTTCCTGCTTTGGGATCACCATGGCGATCCCAGGAGCAGGCCCACATGGGGGCTGCCTGCCCTCCGCACTTGCCTGCTCTGGGATTGCCATGGGGTACCAGCTGGCAGCGGGGCTTAGGCTGCACACGGGGGTCCCGGCTGGGGCGGGACTTAGGTGATGCAATCGCACCGCCTAAGCCTGGCTGCTCAGGGCCGCACATGGGGGCCCGGATGGCGTCTGGCACTGTCCCGCCCTGCCTGCAGTATGCAAATTAGTCGCCATTTTTGTTGGCAGTTAATTTGCATATAACCCTGATTAGCCAATGGGAATCGTAGCAAAGGTATGGTCAATTACCCTTTTTGTCTTTTATTAGATAGGACTAGTAGCCCGGTTCACAAAATTTGTGCACTCGGGGGGTGGGGGCCCTCAGTTATTAAACATTTTATGACACAACACTGACCACATTGGTGGTGGTGGTGGCCTTGTCAGGATGTGTTATATTATGCAGATGAAAATCTATTTAAACAGATTTGATGTAGATATTTTCAAAGATGGAAGAATTGTCCCTGTCAACTATTTTAGTTGATTCATATCTTCAGTAATTGTCATCATTGCAAAGTCTTCAGTCCCCATATGGATTGCTGGATATAATAGGTCATGCGCTGTCCCTGTCCTTTGTAGCCTTTGTTACCTTAAGAACTCTAGTTTTCCATTTATATGTTTAAGTACCACCCTTACCGGCTTAAAAATGTAAGTTTTTAACACTGCTCTCTCTGTTTTGTATCCTTCTGATGAAAGCTGGAGTTGGGTTGCAGCACAGAAGAGAAATTCAGAAGGGGAATATTGAAGTAATGACTACAGTAGGAGAAGAGGGAACCTGTTCCCCTGGCCACAGGTGCTGGCGCCCTGGACCACAGGGCTGGCAGCTTCTCCGGGCGGCTGCAGCCTGGGACCTCTGACCGGTAGCTTGTCCGTCTCCTGGGCTGCAGCCAGCCCCAGGTGCTGGCACCTGGACCAAAGGTGGGCGGCTTCTTCTTCTAGGGGCTTCTTCTTCTGTGCTTCGAGGGAGGGCAGTCAGTTATGTGTCATGCAAACATAGGCATCACCAATCTCAGAAGCCAGGTGTGGGGCAGGGAAGCCACAGCCAGGGATGCTGGTGACGGCTGCTTCCCAGCCCATGCAACTGGCTACTGTGATCACCTCTGCACCCGGCTTCTGTGGTCACCGATCGCAGAGGCCGGGTGCGGGTCAGGAAAGCAGCGGCCGGGGAAGCTGGGGGAGGCTGCTTCCCTGCCCACGCACCTGGCTTCTGTGATCGCCCCTGCACCCAGGTTCTGTGGTTACTGATCATAGAAGCCGGGTGCGGGGCAGGGAAGCCACGGCCGGTGACGCTGGTGGTGGCCTCTTCCCTGACCTGCACCCGGCTTCTGCAGTCACCGATCACAGAAGCCGGGTGCGGGGCAGGGACGCCACGGGCACGCTGGCAGCGGCTGCTTCTCTGCCCATGCCCCTGGCTTCTGTGATCGTCCTTGCACCCAGGTTCTGCAGTCACCGATCATAGAAGCCGGGTGCGGGGCAGGGAAGCTGTGGCCGGGGACGCTGGCGGCGGCATCTTCCCTGCCCCTGCCTCCGGCTTCTGCGGTCATGGCCGCTGTCTCTGTCTGCTTCCCTGCCCCACCCACCAGGCTTCTCCGATCACCCGCTGGTGGCAGGGCAAAGGTGGCCTCCAGGGCCGACCTTTGCCCTGCTTCCTGGCTCTTGCCTGTGCCTGGGTTTCTGATCACTGTCTTCCATCCTTCCCCTTTCGCCTCCCATCATTGCGAGTATGCAAATTAACCACCATCTTTGTTGGTGGTTAACTTGCATATCGCCCTGATTAGCCAATGGGGAGTGTAGCAAAGTTACAGTTAATTACCATGTTTGTCCATTATTAGGATGGGTGTTGGCTTTTTTCTGCAGCTTTTTATATGATCATGTGATTTTTTATCTTTTGTTTTGTTTATGTGATGTGTCATATTTATTGATTTTTAAATCTTGTACCAGCCTGGCATTTCTGGAAGAAATCTCACCGCTTATGGTGTGTGATCTTTTTTCTTTCTTTCTTTTTAAATATTATTATTTACAACATACTAGAATTTACACTCCTCTTAAATACATTGATGTTGAAAATTCTGAAAGCCAACTTAAAATATTCCTATTTAAAAATAATCTTTATTTTTGCAAGTATTACAAATGTCCCCTTTCCCCCTATTGACCTCTCCCTTCCCATCTCCCAACTCCAGGCCTTCACCACCCTATTGTCTGTATATATGGGTTATGCATATATGCATATGAGTTCATTGGTTGTTCTCTTTTCCCCTCTTCCCTGCCTTCCCTCTGAGGTTTGACAGTGAATTCGCTGCTTCTCTGTCTCTGGATCTATTTTTTTTTTCCATCAGTTTATGTTGTTCATTAGATTCCACATATGAGGGAGATCATGTCATACTTATCTTTCTCTGACTGACTTATT